TCAAAACAAACGTTCGTTTTGTCAAAAATCGCTTATAACTCAAAAATCTGCATAGGAAACCACCTTTTGTGCATTAATAAAAAAATTTCCTTGACCGATTTTACTATTAGGATACTAAAATTATAACCTTAACATAGACTCTAACCCTATCTTAAACGAACGTAAAGATTTTTTGACGCAATCACGTGTCCGTAGAATTTTGGTGGCGATACTGGGGAAGACGAATACTGCAGCTATATCAAAGTACCCTAGCCATGGCGAAAAATGGGGGTCGTCTAAAGCCATGTACCCACGTGACTTTTTTGTGTAAATCAACTAACCGGAATTGCAAAATTTTGTTTACACGGATCAGCCCAAAGAAGTCAAAAAATAAAGAAAATGCAAAAAGACAAAAAACGGCAGTCTTAACCTATCTTGAGGCACTAATTAAAAATGTCGGGAAGGCAATTTTACCTATATCTCTTTTCTTATATCTACACTAAACTAACCCTAATCCTAACCTTAATTTTAATTAAACCGATTAAAATGTCAAAATCACGTGGGTACATGGCTTTAGCCACGGAGAATCTACGGACAGTTCTTAGGGACAGTTCTGATCACGTGATGTTAAACATATCACGTGACTTAAACATAATAACGATAATTACATTTTATTGAATATCGATATATTAAAAATATTTATTATAAAACGCACCTATGGTTTTGCATCTATCATATGTTTTATTATGTTTTTTAACACAAAATTTTCATGTTAGTGTTAGTATTTAGGGTTAGGGTTTGGGTTTGGAAAGGGTTTTTAGAGGCGTAGAGCATTTTTACTTAGAACATATTGCACTAATTAATTAGCCGGTTTTTGAGATAATATATACATAGGTGTAAAACACCATAGGTGCATTTTAGTAAAAGTCTATTAAAAAAGTATAGTTAAATGTAGCTTTAAGAAGCCATTATTGAAATTTAAAATTATTTTTTGAAACATGCAGCCAAAATTTATAAAAATTATTACTAATAAAGTAAAAATTTAATTGCTTTATTTATTTATTTTTCCTGTAATATATACTTATTTTGCGTAATAAATAATATTCAAGAAACATCAAATAAGTTGTAAAAAAAACTTACTTGAAATTTCTAGCTTAACAAAATTTATCCGGTACAGATATATTAACGATTCTATTTTTGGTGTATATGCTCCAATAAGTTTTAAACATTAATTGTATAAACGATTTTAGCGATCATGCTGTAGAGATTGAATTAGAAATTTAATTATAATAGAACAGGGTGAAACCTGAATTGCGAAATAGTGAAATCTGCTTTGTAGATCAGATTAGAGTAAAATCCGTGGTTTATTATATTTTTTATTATATAAAAGTGGATTTCACCCTCATGTAATGATTATAGCAGATTTCACTATTTGGTTTCACCCTGTCGTATTATAATTATATATTAGACTATGATTCAAAAATCGTGATCATCACCCGAAAATCAAAATTATTCCTTGAAACCTGCATGAATATGCATTAAAAAAAAACAATAACATCCAAAAGAGATTAGCTATGATGCAGTTGCGAAGAAAATAAATAAATTGATACAAAAACCAGTTATTTGTTGCATTGTTACGCTTGTAGGAGAGGTTAGAACAAAGTAATTGGAAAATGGTGATTTTAGATTAGCTAAAAAAATTCTGTTTCATAATCATATTTTGAAAAAAAATAACATAGTAACGTCTTACCAGTTTTCTTATGAATATTTCCAAGGTTTTATATTAGGAGTCATTTAGTTTAAAAATTAATTAGTCTTTTCTGGTTATGTCTTATAAAGGTTTGTTGATTGAGATGATTTCTTGATAAAATAAATCTAGGCGCTAGTAAAATTCATTGTAATTATAAATAAGAGAGAAAATTATTATATTAATAAAAGTACAACTGTTTAATTCTCTTATAATCAATTAAATTTTGAAAAAAAAAACTTATTATAACAATGTCGCAATCACAATCACAAATTCCAAAAGTTGGTGATGAATTCCTAACAGTAGAAAGCTTTAAGGAAGCAGCACAACAAAGTGCCAAGGCAGCGGGTTTTGCCTTTAGTGTATCGTCATCAAAAGTGTCAGGCGGAGGAAAAGGTGGTCATACTCCTTTTATTGTTTTGCAATGTGTAATGGGAGGTAAGTACAGAAACAATCATCAAATTACTGAAGAAACACGGAAAAGAAAGAAGTCCACAAAGCGTCAAAACTGTCCTGTCAATCTACGTGCTGTTTTGAATAAGGATGCTAAAGTTTGGGTAGTAACAATTTCCAAAAATGAACACAACCATGAGCTACTACTTCCATCTCAAGTTCATTGTCTTCCTCAGCACCGGTATCTTACTACAGAACAAAAAGAATTGGTCCATATTATGCTTAAGAGTGGAGCTTCAACTCAATCAATCGCTGATGCGATGCACTGGAAAAATGGTATAGTATACACAAAAGATATAATGAATGAACGTGACCGAATAAAAAATGCTTTGAATGAAGGCACAAATTGTGATACTACAATGCGTCTTCTACAAATGTTAGAAGAACGTCAATATATAGTTCGACATGTGTTAACAAAAGATGGCCATATGCTAAACTTATTTTTTACGCATAATGAAGCTGCACGTCAAGTAGCTATATGCCCAGAAGTGCTCATGATTGATGCAACATACAAAACAAACTTATATAAGCTTCCTCTCATCAATGCCATTGGTGTTAGTAATATTGATAATGCTAAAGCCCTTAATACATATCAAATCGCAATGGCATGGGTAGCAAATGAACAAGAATATACATATGAATGGTTTTTACTTACTTTGAAAGAGACGATCTATGATATTTTTTTTTGTTCTCCGGAAGTATTTGTCTCAGATAGGGCCCTTGCACTTCGAAAAGCGGCGGACAGAGTTTTTCCAGATGCAAAAAAAATGGTATGCATTTGGCATATGCTCTCACAAAATTTACGAACTACATGTAGAAAACTCTTTGATTCTGATGAAGACTATGATGAACTTTTATTGTCGGTCCAAAAAGTGGCTTATGCTGAAGAAATGAATGAAGTAGAAAAGGCATTTAATGAGGTTAATAAAGCGGTAATAAAAAGCAGAGATCCTAAATATATTCTAAATTATCTTGAAGAATGGAAAAAAGATGCAGAATGTTGGATGCATGTTTTTACAAAAAATTATCCGCATATGGGAATCCAATCAACACAGAGAGCAGAAGGAAGCCATGCCACTTTGAAAAAAGCAATAGAAGCAGCAAGCGGTTTGGAACAAGTGTTTTTACATATTGACCGTGCCTTCCGCCAGCGTCAACTACGAACAACTGGGGCCCTTGGTTTGAATATTGTCTCCGCTGATCCATTTATACGTAATGATCTGAGATTTGAATTACTACTTGGAAAAATTTCCAAATGGGCAATTGATAAAATCAAAAAGGAAATATGTGAGATTGGAGAGAATAAAAATTCAGATAATAGTTCTTGTAATTGTAGCTTAAGATTGAATTATAAATTACCTTGTCGTCACATAATTCCACCAACTGGGCCTATTCCACTTAGTCTTGTTCATTCTCGCTGGCATTTAAAGCATGATTCAATACCTTTATTATCGCCATCATTATCGCCATCATTATCAACTGACTTTACTATCACTAAGATTTTATATAAACTTGAAGAAAAATATGAAAACCTAAATGATAGTGGGTTGAAAGCCACATTATTGCATAAGATTGAGGAACTAGCCACTGAAGAAATTCCAGTTCCAAAGGCGCCATTGCATACTGTATCTAATAAGCATCCAACATCTACTAAAAGAGATCCTCTTCTCAGTGAGCATCAAGATAAAGCTGCTGCAAAAAAGGAAAAAAATATAAAAAAAGAAAAAAATATAAAAGAAAAAAATATAAAAAAAACAGAAAAAGAACCTGTGAAAGGTCTACAATTGTTGCAAAAACCTTTATTTTATGACCAGATACCTATTTATATACATGAATATATAAAGGAAGTGATTAATGTAGATGGAGATGGAAATTGTGGATACAGAGCAGTGGCCGTGTGTTTAAAAAGGAATGAAAATGAGTGGTCAGAGATAAGAAAGGAATTGCTAAAAGAATTAATTGAAAAAGAACAATTTTACCGGATGCTGTTTCTTGCCAATGACGATTATGATGTGATTAAAAAAGAGATTACTTGGGAAAGTGGTCCTTGTACATTCGAACACTGGATGAAAATGCCACAGATGGGTCATGTTATAGCAAATACTTATCAACGGCCATTATACTTTTTCTCATTACAAATAAGCCTTACCTTTCTTCCATATCATCACCCATTAAACCGAAATGAAGCTCTTGCAATAGTTTTCGTTAACAATAATCATTATGTACCCATAGTATTAAGACCTGGTGCACCTGTTCCACCAATTGTTAATCGGTGGACACAGTTTGCTACTTCAGCCGCAACACGCTGGAAACTATTGATCCAAGATCGCATTATTCAATTAAGCAGCTCAACTAGTAAAACAGATCTAGAAAATAAATAATACATATTAGCCATGTAGATTTAAGCAAGATTCGTTAAACACAAAATACTAATTTCAGAATAATTTTTATAAATATTGAAATGCTTACATTCAAAATGCTTATTGTTATATTTAATTATTTGACTTTCGTTCTTACGTAATTTGAATTTATATATTTAAATATCATGTGATTGCACTGTCCATAAGATCACATGACTATGCACTGTCCCTAACTGTCCCTAAGAACTGTCCGTAGATTCTCCGCTTTAGCCATCCCCGAAAAATGTTCAGGTCATGTGACGATCTGCAGGTAATTACAGTCTCGGATATTACCAAATATGGTAATTGATCGACAAAGTATTAACGAATTTTCTAGATTAAAATCCTATATGTTGAAGACTTGCACAAGTTACCAAATATAAAATTTTTTTCTTTTTATTAAGATACAAAAAAAAAAGTACTTTGTTACATTATTTTCAACACGTAGTTTCAGAATCCGCCCTGATCCCGCAACGTTTAATAAGGCAGTTGTTTCATAATTAGACAACAAACATAAGCGTATTTTTACTATATTATACTTAGGATGAGCATAGCGGGCTTTCATTGTAATTGGCTGATTTTTGTAGATCATCCCGTGATATTGCAAAAATATCATAACTACCCCAGTATCGCCATCAAAAATTCACCCCCACGTGATTATTGGCCAATAACAGATCACAATTTAATGTAACG